GGGCCGGGAGGGAGGGAGGGCTGTCCCCCAGGGTGCAGGCTGCCGTAGTGGGAGCAGGTTGTTTACGCTTCCCCCCACACCGGCCCACGCTCCCTCTCATTCCTGGGCCCTCCCAGCGGGCTGTCTGCACAATCTGCCCAGAAAGCGGCTGCCCTGGGCCTAGGACTCCTCTGCAGAAGGTGCCGGGCCCAACGCCCCTTTCTTGGCCCACTGTCTCCCGTCCCAGGGGTGGGTGTGTGGAGCCCATGGCCCCGCCGGACGACATGTCCCCCAGCCTGAGTCCTCCTCCCCTCCCACTTCCTGGAAGAGCCACTGCTTGGAAACGGGAGCAGGAAAGTCCAGGGCTTGGAGCCGGCCGAGGCGAGGGCGGGTCACTCCTGGTCCGGCTGGAGGAGCGGTTGTGCGGGTTCGAGAGGAGTGAAGCGCTCACACGCCGTGTTCCCCATGTGAGCTGTGTGCTTGTTTGTGCGCTGCCAGTTACCGAGCAACTCATCATTTCAGAACAATCCTAAGCTCCCCACAGCCAGTCCCGCCCCGACCCCCCTCCTGCCCCGTCTTTCCACACACACAATAGCTGGGCTGGGGGGGGGGGGGGGGCGGTTCTGACACAAATTAGAGGACAGTGGAGGGAGCAACTGCTGGGTGGCGGCCTAGGAAGCCCAGCAGCCAGGAAGGCTGGACGAGAGCACCGGGAGCCTCTGAGCCCAGACACTGTCCCCACCTCCAGTGGGGCCGTGGCCTGGACACCTCCCGGCAACGGGCTCTGCTTCCAGCAATGAATCCCGGGGAGGACAGGAGGTGGCTGCCCTGTTGCTTTCCGTCCTCCATCTGGAGGCTGGTCTCTGTTGCTAATCTCTGCTGGCGGGAGCCAGTGGCGGGGAAGGCTGCTCCTGGCTGCCCCGAGATTCAGATTCATTCGTAGCAGCAGAGCCAGGTGCCCGGAGGTGTCCAGGCCACGACCCCAGGGCGGTGCTGTTGGCGGTGCTTCTGTGGCTGGGACTCCAGGCGCTGTGGTCTCCCCTGGAGACTGGAACACGACGGGAGAGCTGAGGAGGTGGCGGGCGGGCGCAGGGCGGGTGCTGCTGCTGCTGTCCTGTCACCCTAGGGTGCAGATGCCACCTCGGGGAGTACCTGCCCATCCCAAACGTATGCTTGTGTGGAAGTGGGCAGGATGGTCCTGGAGGAGGGTATGTAGCAGAGGCGCTGGCCCAAGATGAGGTGGGCACGGCCTACCTGCGGCCACTCGATGGCATGAGGGCAGGGTACCCCGCTGGCCCGCAGGCTCCCAGGGTCCCTCTGCAGGGGCCTCAGGCAGAAGCCCGAGACCTTCAGCTGGAGGAAAGTCATACTTCGTTGGGGGCCTCGAAAGGAGAGTGGCCGAGCGGCTTACGCTGTGGTTCACGTTAATGTAATGATAACGGTGCCACTAATATTATTAATAACGGCTGACGTGTCTCACACACTTACGTGCTGGCACTGTGCCGAGGGCTCTCTCTGAGCCTCGTCTTGTTTATGAGCAGGAGCCGCTGTCTTCTCACTGACCCAACAAGGAAAGGGAGGCTCACAGAGTCCGCTCCAGGGCACGCACAGCCAGGGTGAAGCCAGGACCTGCACCGGGCACCCTGATGCCAAAGCTTGTGCAGCTGTGGGGACACAAGGACCCGAGTCTAGAGCCGGGCGTGACCTGTCGACCAGGGCACGGCGATGAGCTGTGGCCCCGCCCCGGGTGACGTCTTTGCAGGTGGGCTGGGCGGCGTTGGCCAGGGCTCTTCCCATGGCGCTCTCCCCAGGAGCTTGTCATTCAAGGGCAGACCAGGCTCTCCCATGAAGGACTAGTCCTCGCCTGCCAGTGAGGGGGCGAGGGAGCTGCCTCTCCCTGCTCTGTCCTCAGGGAGGAAGCGGCGGCCAGGGATGACAGTGAGGTCACCACTCGGCCACCCTGCTGCCTCCCTCAGGAGGAGGGGAGGGGCTTGAGGAGAAAGGGTTTGTTCTGGACTCTGCAGGGGGAGGGCAGAGCGTGGGGACCGAGGAGGCAGCTTCGAGAGGGACCCGCAAACCTGAGCTGGAGACAAGTCCCCGTGCCCAGTGACTGCAGACCCTCTCAGTGGGACACACACGCCCCCTGGTGGGGGTACAGCGAGAGGGCAGCTGAGAGCATTTTAAGAAGATTTGCTGAGGGACTAGGACCCATGAGCCTGGGTAGGAATCGTCAGACCCGTTTCTATGTGCACACACACACACACACACACACACACACACACACACACACACACACACTACCACAGGCCGGAGCCAGCTGACCTAAGCATTAAAAAGAAAGATTTCCTCTATTCCACTGGGCATTTACTTAGACAGCGTATTAGGAGCCTCTGGTGCGCATTGTGGGGCGTGTGCTGGGCGCTGGGAGTGACCCGGTGATGCAGGAGGCAGTGCCTGCCCTCCAGTTAGTACAGGGGCAAGGTCCCCACAGAGGAGGCCCAGTGCTGCCCGCTCCGCAGCTGGCTGGTCTTGTGACCCTGCCTGCTCTGGACCGTAATGTCCCCATCTCAGGAGCATGTGTGGAGCCCGGGTGGGCCGTGCTGGGGACGTCAGGACTAACGCCCATCCTCGGGGAAACCCCTGTCCAGGAAGATGAAGGGAGGGTGGCCCTCTGGGGCCCACAGAGCCTCCCAATCCACAGAGACACCGTGGGCCGCCTCCGGAGGCGCTGACAGACTCGCCTACTCGGCGAGCGTTCCGGAGTGCCCGTGTGCCAGCTCCTGTGGGTACACGATGAATTCAGACGTCCTGGCACAGACCAGCAGAATACTCGGCGGAATGTAAGAAACGCGCTGTCGACCACAGGCAGCAGCCAGGACGGGGACCCGCCCCAGACAGCCACGCAGCCACGGGCCTCTCCAAGGGGAGGAGACGAGCTCAGAGCTCGGACAGCGTGGCGTTCCCAAGGACGTGCACACGGATCAGCAGGTCCCAACGCAGATGCCACGAAGGCGGCTCAACAGAGAAAGGAAAGGCCCCTCCACAGACGACAGGAAGCACTAACCATAAGAGGGAAAATGGATTCATTGGACTCGGTCAAAATTCTTGGAAAGACTGGGAGAAAATATCCGCCAAGCAAATAGCCGAGGAAGGGCCTGTATCCAACATATAGAGAGAAATTTTACAATTTAATATAAATAAGACAGCCCATCAAAAGGGGGAGGGTTTTAATAGACATGTCACACAAAAAGTATACATATGGCCAATCAACACAGAGAGATGTTGGACATGGTAAGTCATCAGAGAAATGCAAATCAAACTCTCGAGGCACTACTAATGTTAACCACCAAAAATGGTTTAAATTAAAGACTGGCCATAATAGGTGTTGGGCTGGTTTGGGACAACTGTTACATCTGCTTGGGAAGCAAACCAGCTTAGCAGTTTCCTGTGAAGTTATCCATGAGGAATGAAAATTCATGTTCACACGAGGATTTATGCAAAACTGTTCACAGCAGCTTTCGTAATAATAGCTCCAAGCTGGAAGCAACCCAGAGACGCATCAACAAGCGAGCAGATAAAGACTGTGGTATGTTCACATAATGGAATAATAGTCAGCAATAGAAAGGAAATGAACTACTGATGTAAGCCACAACGTGGATAATTGAGAGAAGCCAGACATAAAAGAATACCCACTGTATGAATCCATTTGTATGAAATTCTAGAACAGGCCAAACTAATCCATAGTGACAGAAAGCAGACCAGTGGTTGCCTGGATACGGAGACTGGCTGCAAAAATGGTAGGAAGGTGCTCTTTGGAGTGACGACATGTCCTAAATTGTGATTGGGGTCGTGGTTGCGTGGGTGTATACGTGTATTGGATTATTGAACTGTACATTTTACATGGATGCAATGGTATGTAATAAAGATGACTTAAAGAGTTAAAAAGAAGCAACACAAGAATGAAGACCTGATCCTTGTCTTGCTCATGATCTAGTGGAAAAGTCAGACTGGGACACAAATAATCATAAAAGAGTGAATATTTAAAGAAGTATGTTCAGGCCTAGCCGGTTTGGCTCAGTGGATAGAGTGTCGGCCTGTAGACTGAAGGGTCCCAGGGTCGATTCCAGTCAAGGGCACATGCCTGGATTGAAGGCTCGATCCCCATTAGGGAGCCTGCAGGAGGCAGCCGATCGATGCTTCTGTCTCATCACTGATGTTTTTATCTTTTTCTCCCTCTCCCTTTCTCTCTGAGATCAATAAAAACATATTAAAAAAGAAGCACGTTCAAATAACAGGAGTTCTGTTTCTTGCCCGATTCCCGCGTGCCAGGCCCCTGCTAGGTGCGTCCCCAGCACAATCCTGAAGAGTCTGCTCAGCTTGTGAGATGGAGGAACAGCTGCCGGACTGCCAACTAGCAGTGCCTGCTGGGCCACCGTGCCCGATGTGAGCAGCCAGCGGCTCGGGATATACCTCCCCTCCTTCACGTTCTTACTAATAGAATTAAAGACCCCGCTCCAGGTTAAGAAGTGAACATATGCCAAAGACTCCGCTGTCTATTCCTGGGGGTTTCGGACACCATGTCTTCAACCTGGCCAGTGAAGGGAACTCGGTGAGCTGTGCATGTGACCACAGTGGGCCCTGACTAGGTTTCTCCTCTGCACCCAGAGAGGACTCCTGCCCTGTCACTAAACTGTGCGGCTCTTTCCATGTCAATACATATAGGCCTTTACTAAGTAGAGTAATAGCTAGGTAGCAATTCCACCAGATGTAAGACTCCCATGTCCAGACCCCGCCAGCAGCCGAGTGCAATGAAATCACAGCAACATGAACACTTGGTCTCAACAGTTCTGAGCCCTTGCTTGCATTCGGACGTATTCTTTTTTAAAAAATATATTTGTATTGATTTCAGAGAGGAAGGGAGAGGGAGGTAGAAACATCAGTGATGAGAATCACTGGTCGGCTGCCCCCTACTGGGGATTGATCCTGCAACCCAGGCATGTGCCCTGACCGGGAATGGAACTGTGATCTCTTGGTTCATCATGAGACCCAACCACTGAGCCACACGGGCCGGGCCAAGTTTCCTCTTTAAGTCTGAAATGACAGGGGCTTAGTTTGCAGCGAGAGAGAACCCACTCTTCCTCCCAGTATGACACAAAGTAATGTCTTCAAGGGTAAGACAGAGAAACGTTAACAACCAATTTCACAAGATAGAAGTTATTGTTGAGTTCATGATTATTTGTTCAGTACATACTGGGCGCAAAGGCAGCGGAATATCAAGTAGGCACGGTGAGGAAATTAAAAAAGAAAGAAATTATCATTAAAAAAGACTTCTCCCGCCTCAAAGGGCTCGTAATCAAATTAAGGGAGTCAAACGTAAACAGATGCGAAAACTTGAAAACAAGCACCTGCGACGTATGACCGGACGGACGAATTATCCTGCATTACGGTGCAGAGAATAATCCAGACGAAATACCGCCGAGGGCACAGCTGAAGAGCTGGGAGGATGGGGGGAGAGCAATGAGAAAGGGCTCACATTTAAGCTGATTTCCAGGTCCGCGTGGACTCTGGCCCTGGCTCTAGTTGTTGTTTTGCCCTATTGTTGTTTCAAAAATGAGGCCAGGGCAGTTGCCTGAAAAATAACACTCAGAAGTACCAGCGGCTGTTACATTATTCTCTGTTCTTTTTCAAAATGTAATTATTTTTCCTTCTCAATACTGGCAGCGGGACCCATGGCACCCGGCTTCGGGGGAATTCAGAGCAGCCTGGCCCCTGGCTCTCGGGCGCCCCCTGCCGCCCGGGCCTCACTGCGCTCGCCCCAACGTGAAAAGCAGCTGAGCGGGGCGGGGAACAATTCTCCGCGATCCTTCCCTCCGCTTCACTAAAGCAACCAACCACGCCCGGTGACCCCTCCCCGCCCCGACTGAAATCCACGGGGCGATTTAGATGAGATCCAGCCGTGCCTCAGTTTCCTCACGGGTCCCTCTCGTGGGGCCCCCTCGAACTTTCTGCGTCCACCACCACCCCCAGCCCTCCCAGCCTCGGTAGCCAAAGCGACCGTCCATCTTCCTTTTCAAACGGCGGGAACTTCACAGATCAGGCCTCCCACCCCGGGAACTCTACTGCCTCTGGTGGTGGCCACCATCTTACCCCCGGCTCCAGGGTCGCGCCGAAAATGCGGCTACCCCCAGTGGCTGTTGTTTTGGACTACGTTTCCCATCAGCCCTTTCTCAACATCGCGAGAGTCCCAGCGAGACCGCCGAGAAGACTTGCGCGCAGGCGCGGCCCCGCCCTCTCCCCGAGGCCGGCCGCATGGCTGGAAGTCATGGCTCCTTCTGTCCGGGCCCAGTTCGGCGAGCAGCCTCGGGCCTCAGGCCTTTCGCAAGGGTAAGGCTGCGGAAGCGGGAACACGGGGTCTTCTTTGGGCGCCAGCACACGTGGCCTCCCTTTTTCAGGGGCGAAATGGTGATGCCAAACCTCTCATCCTCCTGACAGGGTGGTTGGGAGGATTAGCTAACATGTTGGGTGAGAGCCCTGACCGGATTGGCTCAGTGGCTAGACTAGAGCGTCGGCCTGCGGACTGAAGGGTCCCGGGTTCGATTCCGGTCAAGGGCATGTACCTTGGTTGCGAGCACATTCCCAGTGGGGGGTGTGCAGGAGGCAGCTGGTCGATGTTTCTCATCGATGTTTCTAACTCTCCCTTTCCCTTCCTCTCTGTAAAAAAAAAAAAAATCAATAAAATATGTTTATTAAAAATTTTTTTAAAAATATGTTGGATGAGAAAACGCTTTCCAAACGGCGCGAGGTTTTACGGTTGAAGGGAGAGAGCTCAAGCCCACCTTTGGGGGAGGGCCCCTCCGCGCAGCCCGCTGTGGGCTGAGCTTGCAGCACCGGCCCTGAGGGCGTCCCGGGTCCGCCCGAGGCACCGGCAGTGGCAGGTGTTAATTCAGGTCGAGACTTCCGCCTCGAGTGCCTGGAGAGCCGCCCCAACCAGTTTCTAGAGAATTCTGCATTTAGCCATCGACGGGACTGGAGACTTTGGAAAGCCGCGTTTCTACAAAGAACCTTACACGGTCATTTTTTCCTTCCCCGCAGGCCTGCCAGTAGCATCTGCGGAGACAGAAGCGGACCTGCAGGTTGAAGCTTAAAAGGACTGGAATGAATGGAGCCCCGAAATGAGTAAGAATGGCAGGGTGCAGGCAGGATCTGGGAGGGTACCAGGAATGAGAAAGCCGAGATGGTGGGGAGGCCCCTCACATACAGCCGTCTAATAGTCCGCCTCGCACTTGATTCGGAAGTTGAACTTCAGAATAAGGTCCATTCTGTGCACAAATGCTGGCATACATCTAGCATCCGGAAGTGAGGGGTCTGTGCCAGTGTGACGTGGGGGCCGCTAGGTGTCGCTGTTTGAAACTTAGTGGAAACCATTGCATGGGGCGGGGTGAAGGGAGCCTTGGAAGGGGAGACGGCTGGGTGGGGTTTAGGAGTGTGGGTTACAGCGGAGCTGAGGATGATTTAAAGTTATCCCTGTCGGAAAGGGCTTCCTCTGTGAAGAGTTCTGACCTGCTGAGGCTCAGCTGTGTAAACGTCAGTCTTGAGAATAAATGCCTGACCATTGTTCCTAGTAGAATGAGACCTATGTTACCCTATTTCTCCTTCGGGCTAAAGGTGCTGGCTGTGGGCTTTGAGAAAAGTCACGTGAGAACCGTCATCTTCAGATGTTGAGTGTAAGGATCTTCGTGATGGAGATTTCTGTAAACGGTAAGGTTTTTAGCTCTTTCACTGACTTGTGTAGGTCACGACCTCTTTTAAGGTTTGGTCGGCTAGATCTGGGAGATGTGTGGGTCTTTCTGGGTTGTCACTGCCCAGCTAAGGGAAGTAAGTAAGGAACTCTTTGCTAGGCTCCTTGCCAAGCAGTCTCACGTACAGTATTTGTTACAACTGTTGTGAGAATTAGGTTAGACCAGTGGTTCTCAGCTGGGGGCAGGCGGTGTGGCTGGGATACGGTGGGGGCTGCTCAGTGTTCTGCAAAGCACAAATCAGCGCCCGCACAAAAGCACTGTCCACCCAGAATGTCCGTAGAGCTGAGATTGTAACCCTGCATCAGACCAGCTTGAGTGATTTGAGCTCTAGCCTCTGCCGGTACCAGATAACCACACAGCCTTATTCATTCATTTGCAAAGCAGGGTCAGTGCTTCCCAGACCTGTCTGTGTGACAGAACCACCTACGAAGTGTTACAATATACACATTCCTGGACCCCACCTCCAGCCTGGATGAGTGGGCCCAAGAATCACGCGTGGCAGTGTGGGCGCAGGCACGGAGGACTAGATGATCGGATCTACTTTTAGCCCCGATTTTTGTTACAGCGAGATTATAGGACTGGCTGTGTTTAACCAGCTCTCGGGGCAGATCCATAATCCTCTGTCTTAAAAAACAGAAAGCCACATGCTTGCTCTGCACAGAGAGGAGTGAGAAAGAAACAGCTTCTTGGCCTCAGGCACCGTTTGTGGTGCCTAAAGGAGTAATCTGCACCGGGAAAGACACTAGCCCAGGGGTGGGCAAACTTTTTGACTCGGCCACAATGGGTTCTTAAACTGGACCAGAGGGCCGGAACAAAAGCATGGATGGAGTGTTTGTGTGAACTAATATAAATTCAAAGTAAACATCATTACATAAAAGGGTACGGTCTTTTTTTTTTTTTTTAGTTTTATTCATTTCAAACGGGCGGAATCGGCCCGAGGGCCGTAGTTTGCCCACGGCTGCACTAGACCCGGGGGCCTCAAACTACGGCCCGAGGGCCACATGCAAATACAAATATTGTATTTGTTCCCGTTTTGTTTTTTTACTTCAAAATAAGATGTGCAGTGTGCGTAGGAATTTGTTCATAGTTTTTTTTTGAGCTATAGTCTGGCCCTCCAACGGTTTGAGGGACAGTGAACTGGCCCCCTGTTTAAAAAGTTTGAGGACCCCTGCACTAGACTATATACCCCCCAGGCTCAGCTATAAGACACGTGGTGCTGAGGGAGACCCTGCCTTTCAAAGGGCAGGAACTGCCCTGGCCAGTCTGGCTCATTGGATAGAGTGTTGGCTCTCAGACCAAATGGTCTCGGGTTCGACTCCTGGTCAAGGGCACGTACCTTGGTTGAAGGCTCGATCTCCGGCCCTGATTGGGGTGCATGCAAGGAGGCAACCACTCAACCTGTCTTTCTCACATCGATATCCCCCCACCCCCCGCCCCCGCCTAAAAATCAATGGAAGAATGTTCTCAGGGGAGGATTATAAAAAAATAAAAGTTCATGAACTGTCGATGTGTCAGGCAGGTCTGGACACTGGGTACATCTAGCACTAGATATGGTCAGGTTTTGCCCTTGAGGGAAAGTACCTTCTAATCCAGGTCAGGTTTTGCCCTTGAGGGAAAGTACCTTCTAATCCAGTAGATCTGGTTGAATGAGCGTTCTCACAAGGGGAGTAAAGCAGAGTTTGGTGAGAAAAATAGTTGCACGTGCTGTGGGCTGGCAGATTGGTGGGAGCCGAGTCCGTGATGATGTAAAGTTATCCCTGTCTGAAGGCCAAGAGGCCTTCGGTGTGGAATTTGGATGTCTGAGACTCCGTTTCCCAAGCTTCTTATAGATAATTAGGCTGGTTGGAAAGTGAGTTTCTTGAGTCGGTTTTTCTTTGCAATTTCTCCTCGCCAGGGGCGGTCCAGCCTTGGTTTCGGACCCGCGACGGACCCTCCAGGAGAAGCCTCTACGCGGCAGTAAGTGGCCCTGGGCCTGGAGTGGGGTTTTCTCACGGACGAAACGACTTTCCGCACAGGCTTGGGGTGACCGTTTTGCTTCCCTGCCCGGGACTTGGGGTTCTGCTAAGTGGCAAGGAGACTAACACAGGTGTTTTCTTTGTCAGATGCCTGCGGTGTGAGGCACAGAACTGAGCTGCTTTGCCCGAAGCAAGTGAAACGGTTCCTCCCGTTGTAAGTTTCTGTTTCCGTCTCACCCGACTTTGTCCCCAAGAAGCCCCCAAGCCTATGATGGTTCGTTATCCCTGTCTGAACCTCTCACTGAGGGAGAACAGTCTGCTCTGAGGCTGACGGGTGGCTGGGCCCTGTGCTCTTACAAGTTCAGGTTTTATCAGGGATCAATCACACTGAATGGACTCCAAAGGAAACTGGATACCCGTGGGGCCCCAGGCCAGCGCCTCAGCTCTCTGCAGCTTGAAGGCCAATGGCGCGCCTACCGTCACGCTTTAGGCCCCTGGATTAATGTCTCTGAGGGACGGGCTATGTGAGAGATGGCAGAACTGGGCAGTGGCCAGGATTTGGCTTCCCCTCTTGCTGGGGAACGAGAGTGCTTGTCACTTGTCACATCTTTCAAGAAAACGGAGGGAGTCAGTGCCTGCAGCTGTGCAGGGAGAGTCCTGGGGCCGCTGGCCTCTCGCCTTTGCCCCGGGGCCTGCCCTGCTGTTCCTGCCCTAACTTCTATCACGTGTCCCAGGTGCTTAGCACCAGGTCTCCTAAGGTTGGCTCAGATCTCGCCGGAAAGGCATGACTGGCGTGTGGGCAGGAAGGGATCAGTGGCTTGGACATGGCTTAGTGCCAGCTTGAAGTGGCACCGCTTGAAAGTGGGGTGTGTTTGGGCTCTTTATATTCAAGGCCACATGTGTGTTCGGTCACCATGGAAGCTATATTTGGGGTGAGGTTTGGTGAACCTGAAAACTGGCCCCAGCAGCTTACAGCCCAACAAACTGAAAGGGCATGTTACTAAGTGGGGAAATCTACACGAGTTTTACATCTGGAGCAGGTGATGCAAATGCCCCCGGTGCTTTGTGGCTGGTCTTGACTGGCCACTTCCCAAACACTGCTGCCCCCTCCCCGCTCCAGCACGGTCTCCTGAAAACAAGCTGCCCATCATCTGGGGGCCTCACCGGCCATGGAACTACCTGATGCACCCATCGTGCCTTCACGCACAGGGCGTCCTGGGTTTGAACGAGCACCTCTGTGGCTGCCTCTTCTCTAACGTGGTGGATTCTTTAAAGTCAGTCTTCAGTCTGCGTCAGTCTGTCGGCTGTTGTGTCACATGATTCTCTGGTTTTACAGGTGACCTCCCAGTTGTGCCGGCCGGATCCCTGCAGCCTCTGTTGCTAATGTTAATGCCTGTAAAGTGTTTCTCCCAGAGGAGAATCCTTTCAGAGCTCTGTGGACTTCATCTTCAAAAATAGCCAGATAGCCCTGACTGGTTTGGCTCAGTGGATAGAGCGTTGGCCTGCGGACTTAAGGGTCCCGGGTTCGATTCCGGTCAAGGGCGTGTACCTTGGTCGCGGGCACATCCCTGGGGGGGGGTGGGGCAGGAGGCAGCTGATCGATGCTTCTCTCTCATTGATGTTTCTAACTCTTTCCCTCTCCCTTCCTCTCTGTAAAAAAATCAATAAAATATATTTTTTAAAAAATAGCCAGATAATTCGAGAGCAAATGAGTTTATCCCAGAAAATTAGTGAAATTGGGGTATAACTAAGAACATTGGGAAGCCGCAGCGTGGGGGTCGATATTGGTTACTCGTGTGTTGGCGGGACTGCGGTGACGGTGGATGGAGGTAATTAACATGTACTGAGTGTGCTCTTGCGGGAAGCAGAGGCTCCGCCTAGAAAAACGTTTCTCAGAGTGGAATTCTTCAGGCAGTGTGTCTTGGGCTTAACTTTTGAAGCACAAATAAACATTTTCAAATGACGGGCATTGTGGGTTTCAGATGGAGACCCACACAACAACAGTATATTGTGGCTCAGTAACATTCCTTGGTAAATGAGTTTCACAGACTAATAGTTGGGTTTAACGGTAACCAGGATGCAATCAGATGTGTTGGGGTGAAGTTGATTTTATGCCCCTTTAATGGGTGGCCACAGGCCGGGTGCTGGGTCCTGGGGGACGGGTCGTTGCTGCCTGGGGAAGGCTGCCTACCAGCCAGCCCTGCGGAGACCCCCAGCCCCGCACAGTGCGGGCATCAGACTGTCCTGGAAGCTGCCTGGTTGCCGCGGAGGGGCGGGGGGATCCCAGGGCTTAAGGGCTGGGCGGTGATAGCTTGGCTTCCAGAGCCTATATAATGCCTAAGTGAAACTGCCTATCAATTAAGTTCAAATTGTGGCACCATGATGATCAATACAGAGTAAGGGGGTTCATTACAGGATGCCATCCTTTGGTGACAAGGTGGCAATATATCTGTAACGGGCATCCCCTCAGAGGCAGGCAACCTTCTGTGCACTTGGCCCCGTCAAATACCAGAACCTTCCCGTGGTTCTGGAGTTCTCTGGTCTCCACGCTACACCCCTGCATGGTATCACGGCGTGCTACTTCTACCTCAACACACAACGAAGACGGCCATCCATCCTTTATGCAATTACCTGGTTTCAGATTACATTCTGCCTTTTGCGCTCCCTCTTTCTCACGGTGCTCATGTATGTCGGTCATGGTCTAGAAAGGTGAAGATGTGTCCTTGAGCTGAATTGCCTTGGAGGTTGCATGTTCATGGGAGGACTGGCTGGGAGTGTGCAGGTGCCTGTGATGGAGTGTGGCTGAGTCCTCCATTGACTTCCCAGTGCTGCTCAGCACCTGTTGGTCTTGAGGCTCAGCTCTGAGGTCCGTCTGCCCCTTGGGGGGAGGGTGACGGCACATCTTGGGAGTGTTCTCTTCCGTTTTAAACAAAGCCAGCGGGACAGTCCATTCTCCCTTGGCCCAGGGGGTGTCTGTCTCAGACGCGGGGGCTTTCTTGGATGAACCAAGGGCAAGATAGGGTGTTTCACAATGAACAGGCTTCAGTGGTAGTCAGACACCCACCTCAGTGTCACCTGAGGGAAGGAGTGGGTCTCGGGGAGTTGGCTTCGGCCCTTTGAAGGGGACCTGGCCCCCAGCTCAGCAAGAATCAAGCTCGGTGCTGGTACAGCTGCAGGATGCCGGCCTTGTGCAGGTCCCACCACAGAGCTGCCTCCAGGGACAGATCGTGATTTGCATAGAATACCAGTGGCTGCTTAACTCGATCGAAGTAGTGGTCGGAAAACTTCCAGTAGTTACTTGTGATGAATCCATAGGCACTAACCTGGACAAAGATGGGCATTGAGCTGCTGCGTGCAGACTCATGTCAAGTGACATGGATTCAGGAAAGCCCAGTCCCGCCCCGCCCCCCACCTTATGCCTGTGAAGATGCAAGTGAACGGGTGCAGCTCATAAGTGAAGTGAGACTCCTGCTGTACAGCAGGGACGAGGTGTGGGGCCAGAGCCCTGTGGCCTCAGTGGGGGTCACTGCCTGCCTTTGAAAACGGCTGAGTCTTCCCTGTCTCCTATGGAACGTCTCTCGGAGTGACCAGAGGTTGTGGGGGCGAGCCCTGCTGTCCCACCCACCTCTAAAGTGTCCCCATCAATGCATGTCCCCGCCCAGGTCTGGAGAAGGCTGCTTTCAGAAGAGCAGTCTGTAACGTGTCTTGGATGCCGCGTAGAGTGGCTGCCCTGGGACAAGGGCGTGAAGGAAGGAAGGGTGGGCAGGGGCTGGCCCCCAAAGGACCCTGGGTATTGGATGCGACTCTCCCCTGCCTTTCCTAGACCCCTCCTGCAGCTGGGGGATCAGGTCTGAGGTGCGCCTTGTGTAGGCTCTGGGGTAAGTCCGGTTCCATTCACACCTGGACTCTGCTGCTGTGGGTTCCCGAGAGGCCGCTTACCTGGTCACAGGTATGTAACGCTGTCAGCAGCATGAGGGCCCCAGTACTAGGCATATATAAGTCTTTAAATTTTGAGATAATCCGCTTTGATTTCAAAAACCTGGAAGCAAAACGGCATTGAAACTCAGACATTTAGGTCTTGCACAGCAGCTTGATAGTTACGCCATTACAGTGACCGACTTGGAAAGGCCAGGGAGTTCCTGGCCCTTCTCCTCCCATCAGGTCTCTTCTTGGGGAAACTGATCCTAAAGACCACAGTCTCCTTTGATTGAACCACCCCCTTAGATGACGGGGTGAGGAAGAGGAGCGGGCCCATCCACAGGGGAGCCTGCTTCCTCCTAGAAGCTTGCATCCAGCCTGACTTGTGCCACCTCCTGCCCTCAGCCCTGGGCTAGTGAGTAACCACAGCGCTAGGGCACAGGCGGCCTGCGTTTAGTCTGAGACCTAAGGTTCTCCCTATCCCCACACTCTTGGCCAAACAGGAACCACACAGGCCCTGTGACTGGAGTCACTGGTGAGGTAGCACAAGAGTGACACCCCCTCCCCCATTGGTGATCACAGGCCCTGGCCTCAGCCCTGGATTCAAACCGAGCTCCTCCGGCAGACCTGGCCTCAGCGTGTCCTCTGCACGCGGCTGTGACTGCTGGGCCCCCGCTGCCCAGGCCCACCTGGACCCTCACTGCTCCCGGGGTGCTCGCCTCGGCTGCAGCAGGTTTCTCACCCAGCTGCTGCACTAGTGACACTTTAAAGGGCCCGGTTCATATCAACCTATGAACCAGGAGGTCACGGTTTAATTCCGGTCAGGGCACGTGCCCGGGTTGCAGGCTAGATCCCCAGTGGGGGGCAGGAGGCAGCTGATCAGTGATTCTCTCTCCCTCTCCCGCTCTCTCTCTGAAATCAATAAGAATACATTTAAAAATAAATAAAGGGCCAATCTTGGCTGCAGGGGCGTCCTGTGCATTACAGGATGTTCAGCAGCAGCCCTGGCCTCTACGTACTAGTGGTGCTTGCACTCGCCTACTGCCAACCAAAATGTTTCAAGGTGGACCAGTGGCCCTGCCCCGCCACGGCAGGGACACCGAATGAGATCAGGTCTTGTTCCCTGGCTCCTCCCTGTGCTCACCTTAAGCCTGAAGATGGTGGCAGCTCAGCTTCCGCTGCTGCCCCACACCTCATGGTAGCCCACACCCAGCCTGTGCCTTTATAAACAGCCCTGGCGCCCCGTCGGCGAGGCTCAGTGGCTGAATGTCGACCTATGAACCATGAGGTCTCGGTTCGATTCTTGGTCAGGGCACATGCCCAGTTTGCAGGCTAGATCCCCAATGGGGGGTGTGCAGGTGGCAGCCAATCAATGATTCTCTCCCATCGATGTTTCTCTCTCCCTTCCTCTCTGAAATCAGTAAGTTGTTTTTTTTTTAAATAAACAAACAGCCCTGGCAAATCGACCTTGAGTTCTTCCGGGTTTCCTGTTCCCCTGATTGGTGCCCACCACCTCCATCGAGGTGCTGAAGTAGCTAAACCAATAACAAGGCTTTGGCACCGGCTTGGCGTGTGGCTCTGGCTCGGTGAGAGCAGGTGGGCCTAAAGGGAAGGCCGGCAGTGCGGGGGCGCTGCCACCCCGACCACCTACCTCTCCGTCAGGTAGCTGATGAAGGCTGGATGGAGTAGCTTGAATTTGCTGGCAGAGGCTTCTGGTCCGAAATAGGTCTGAGGCCTATTTTGGGAGGAAGCGGACGGAGCGGTTCAGGCTCTCGTACTGCATGGAGAGGTAGCCGCCCGAGCGGCGGCGGGGCAAGGAGCGGTAGTAGAAGCGCGGCTGCGAGTAGTAGCGGGAGAAGGGCGTGTAGAAGGTGGCGGGCAGCACCGAGGGCACCACCGGCGGCTTGGAGCCCACCAGCACGTCGATGGGCAGCTTGTAGGTGAGCGAGCACGGGGGCGTGAACAGGTTGGGAGGCGTCGGGAAGTTGCTGATGGCGTTGGGGTAGTGGGGCGGGGGCTGGAGGAGAGGGAGGTAGAGGGACTCGGGGCGCCGTTGGCGTGGGGGGGACTGGGGGGGCTGGCACAGGGGCAATGTAGACGTGGGGGGCTGGTAGAAGGGGGGCTCCCTCAGGAAGCGGGGCACGTACGGGGTGATCTGGGACGGGATACCTGGAATGGACCCGATGTAGGAGCCCGAGCCCATAGGGCTGTAGGAGGGGGACCTGGAGGAGCGCCCTGGGGGAGTCTGGGAGTTGTTCCGGGAGGCAGGTTTCAGGCCAGACTGGGAAGGAGACTTGGAGGCGGGGGGAGTGGCGGTTGGGGGAGATGCTCGAGATACGTGTTGGGAATGAGGGCTGGGTTCAGGG